GCTTGTTTTACTGTTACCCAATTTCCCACCTTCCCATTTGTCGGTTTCATCCACCTCCCCATTCCATTTTGTCATATTTTCACAGTGAGAAATCTAGGGCAGATGCTTTTATTACTCACTTGTACAATGCTTAGCACAGTGGAATCATGATCCTACCTTGAGGCCTCTAGATGTTATACATATGTAATAATAATGAGAGTAAATATAATAAGGTTTTCAGTTACCCAAAAAGTATGACATGCAGCAAACAATACTGCTTAATCCAAGATTGTTAACTTTTCTGCTGGACAGACTTGATTTGCCTACAAAGGAAAGGAAGGAAACACCCTCGTTGTGAATTAATTTTTAAAGTAAAAAATATTTTCAGTTATTGAAAATGTTTGTTTTCTTCCAAAGTTATCAAAGCACTCCACAAACATGAAGGATTTAGAGCAGTCAAATGGCGCAGGTAAATATTATTTATCCCCATTTTCTGGGGCCTGGAAAAACCGCGTAAGAAACAAGCTAGAAGACTTCTATGTCTCAGTCATAATTATACAGGGATCTATGGCACAGCCAGGAGCAGAGAAAAAGATTACTTTTTCTAATTTTAAAAAAAATCCAAAATGATAGAGAGAAATTACGTGTTTGCTTTTGTGGCAAAATGGTGGCAGTCCAACAGAGAGCCAATTATGATGTATTATTTCTGTGACAATAGTGCACAGGAACCCCAATAAAGGAAAAGACAGCCCCCCGCATCATAGTAGGCACTGTGCAGACAAGCATCATAGACAAATCTCTGCTCTTAGGTTTGTGAGAGAGGGTGGACAAATCTGACAAACGGAAAATGGATGGGCTGGGACTACAGCACAAGAAGACAACAAGCAACCGTTAGCAGAAAAGCAGATGCCTCAGCTCACCAAGTGGGGAAAAAAATCTACATTTTTTCCATTTCCCATTGCAGGCATCTACGCCCTAGCGTTGCTCCAGCATGTCAGACCCCAAATTCATCCCCGTGCGCTTTGTTAGGGTCACACAAGGGATGGATTTGGCTCCGCGAGTCTAATCAGCCGCCCACAGTTTGCACATTTTTGCCTTTCACTTATCTAGCACAAGCCCCCTCTCTCGCCCCTATGTGGCCATGACTGGCACAAGCACAGCCCACTCAACAGCAGCTGCTGTGGCTGCCCGGGGTGGCCTCTGCTCTGTCTAGGGCTGTGTCCCCCTTCGCCCTCTGCGGTCCCACTGAGTGTATCTGTATAAAGGGGCGGGCAAACAGGCTCCCTGCATCCAAAGGGTATCCTGAGGTGGAACAACACCACGTGCCCCGGCCAAGGGAGACCACCAAGCCGCCTATGCGCCAAGCAAGGAGGCCTTCGACGCCTGCCCTCGCGGCTCCTTTCCCCCCCACTGCTCTGAGGGAGGCAGGGACAGGGTCTCCAACTGCGCATGCGCTAGGGAGCGCGGCCGCCCCCTCACCCTGCACAAAAAAGGGAGGAGGAGGGACAGCGGTTCAAGCGTATGCGCTAGAGCCGTCGGCGAAAGAAGGCGAGGAGGACGCCCGCAATAAGGGGAAGTCAGTGCGCATGCGCCGATGCCTTCCCAAGTCAGGGGAGAAGGAGCACATTGCGCCTGCGCTGACGACGAGAGGGGTGGGTGAGTGGGCGCAGCGCATGTGCGAGGGCCCATGTTCCTCCTCAAGTCACATCTCCCCCGCCCCCAACAGAAATCGTCATCTAGGCGGTCTGGGGTGGGTTCAGCGAGTGGCCTCACCCACCAGCGCGGGGATCAGCCCGGGGACGGGATCCGCCCTACCTGACACCCGGATGCTCTGGCTCCGGCCGGGCAGGGCCTCCGCGCTGCTGGGCAGCCTGGAGAGCGAGTCTCCCATCCGGAACGGCGAGCCGAGGAGAGGACGGAGGAGGCGGCGTGGCGCCACGGTCATCACCCCCGCGAGAGTCAGAGTCCGCCCGCCGTCGGCCGGCGCGCGCTAGCCGTTGGTCCGGGGGGGGGGCAGGGGCGCGTGCGGCGGTAGGCGAGAGACCCGCCTCCTGCCGAAGGCTGCGTGGCTTGCACAAGAGGCGCGCAGAGCCCAGCTGCCATAAACGCGCTGGGGGAGCGCTGAGAGTGTGCGGCTCCCGGGCTCTGCCCGGCTGGGGTGTGAGCATCGCACACCCCCAATCCTCCCGGGCTCTGCCCGCGGCTGGGGTGTGAGCATCGCACACCCCCAATCCTCCCGGGCTCTGCCCGCGGCTGGGGTGTGAGCCTCGCACACCCCCAATCCTCCCGGGCTCCGCCCGCGGCCGG